GCTGGTGGATTTGAACTGCCAACCTTGTGGTTTTCGGTCCAATACTGATCCTATAGGGCCACTGCCGTCAATTTGATTCTGACTCATAGCAAACCTGTATATGGTTACCAAGGAGCAACTGGTAGATTTGGAGACACAAAACAAAACTACAATGAGATAATATTTCACACCTATTGAATGGCAATGATAAAAACAGGAAAGCAATAGGTGTTGGCAGGTAGTGGAGAAACCAGAACCCTTACCCATTGTTGGCAGGGATGAAAAATAATCCAAACACCATGGGAAATAGTTGTTTCTCAAAAAGTTGAATGTAGTACTATCATATGACGCAGTAATCCCAATACTAGGTGTATCACCTAAGGAAGTGAAAGCAGGAAAACAGAAACATAAACACTAAGGCTCTTTGTAGCACTTTTCACAATAGTCAAAATGTGGAAACAACTGAAATGTTTATCAACAGGCGAATGGCTGAATAAAATATGATATATTGTTGGTGGTGGTGGTAAGTACCATGGAGTTGGTTCTGGTTCACGGAGACCCTACACAGGGTTTCTGAGGAGTGGCTGGTGGGTTTGAACCACAGACTTTGTGGTTCACGTGTCTTATTTATCTAGTGCTGCTATAATAGAAGTACAACAGATGGATGCTGCCAACAAATAGAAATTGATTTTCTCAGTGAAGGAGGCTGGATGTCCAAATTCAGGATCCTGGCTCTAGGATAAAGTTTTACCTTTCTATTGGCTCCAGATCATCTTCATTTTGGTTGACATCAGTCTTCTATTGGTTCTAAGAGGTTCTCAGCACAAGGATCCTTGGTCCAAACACATATTCTGTTCTTGCCTCTTCTTTCTCGGTGGTAGTAGTTCCCTCCCTTTCTGCTGGCTTCTCTTTCCTTTTACCTCCTACAAGGTGATGCAGGCCACGTTCCAGGAAAACTCCTCTTACATCAGATCACAGCTGTGACCTAATTAAGGGTGCTACACACCAAGCTAATAAGTTGACAACTGTTGGTTGATCACATCAGCTCACATCATGGAGAATGATGGCACCAGTACCCAAACTGCCAAATTACCTCATTACACAATTGCCAAACCACTAGGAATCATGGCCCTGCCAAATTGACACATATTTTTGAGGAACACAATTTAATCCATGTCAACATACAATGAAATATTTATTCAGCCATAAAAAGAAATGAAGTTCTGACTACCAACAAGACGGTGGATTAAGACAGATTACTCAAACCCTCTACAACAAAAATATGAGAGACCGAATGAAAGAAATATGGATGATAATCCTGGAACCCTGATCTTCAGAGGAAAAGAAATATGAGTCAAATACCAACTAGGAGAAGAACCTGAACAAAAGAGATAGAATAGGAGACATATGGAATAGGTGAATTAGCTATCCTGACACAGAATGGTTGTTTTGAACTTTTTCAAACAGCGTTTGGTTGGGGCAGTGATTTGACCATTGGCTTCAATCACTCAGGACTGCACACGTTCCCACAATGATGGCTGGTAACAAGAAATCAACCATACCCATTCTTCCAAGCCACACCAGCACCTTGTCAGCCTCACCTAGTAGGTGAGAGCCACTACCCACTTTGTAGCACTAGACCAACAATAAATAGTGGCCAAGACCAGACCAACCTTCCCTCAACTGTGCTACATGAACAGTGAACAGAGAACTATCCACACACCTCTATCATACCCACCAAAAGACAGGTAGTAAGCACTTAAGAACACACCTACACACAATCACCAATTAAATACAAATACAACACTACCACAGTGTCTTGGAGATACTCAGTTCTTAGTTCAGTCTTACAGTCTTAGTTTACATGAATTAACAAGACAGAATGACTCACATGGTGACCAAAATGCAGAGCCAAAAAACTTTCTTGAGGAATAAAAAATTCTGATCAGTAATTTCAAAGAATGGTATTTAGATGCTGTCTTAGACTGGGTTTTCTAGAGAAGCAAAACCAGTGAGATAGATAGATAGATAGATAGATAGATAGATAGATAGATGATAGACAGATAGATAGAGAAAAGTTTACTATCAAGGAAATGACTTACAATTTTAGGGTTCCAGGTCCCCAGTAGGAAGAAGAGTCTTTCCCACCTGTCCATTATATTGGAAGCAGTCCACACCCTCAAGAAGGATCCCTTTAATTGATGAGCTACTTATAGTCAATCATCACAGAGTTAGCTATACCTAGATTAGGTTTCCTTACCATGGGAATAAGCACATCTCACCTTCTAAAACTCTGGAAATCCTGGCCTAGTCAACTTGACATGGAATCCTAACTATTACAGGTGCCTTCAACAGACTGAGAGAAAGAATGAGAAAACTGCAGATAAACTCAAGGAAATTATTGGCAAAACTCTAGAATCATTCAGGAAAAACAATATAAGAGAAAACTGACAAAAAAATAAGTAAATTAGAAACCATACAAAAACAGTAAATAGAAAACCAGATTACTACTGTTGTTAAGTGCTGTTGAGTCGATTTTGACCCATAGCAACCCTGTATAGGGTTTCCAAGGAGCAGCTGGTGAGCTTGAACCACCGACCTTGCAGTTCAAATGACTTTGCAGTCTGATGCATTAGCCCACAGCGCCACCCCAGGACTCCAGAATACTACTACCAGAAATAGATAACTCACTGAAAGAGTAGAATTGAGTCAATGTCACTATTGGCAAGATTAAAGACAAATCTCTCACTATGAATCTGCTAGAGGAACAATCAGAGAAAAGAACAACAACAACAACAACAACAACATGAAGAAAGCCTAATAATTATGTGGGACATCATCAAGAGAAATAACTTATATATAGTCGGACTTCCAGAACAGGAAGAGACCAAAAGTGTAGGGAGAGAAAATTGTAAAAGATTTGTTAGAGGAAAACTTCCATACTACCAAGAAAGATGAAAAGATATGCATTCAAGAAACTCAATGAACTGCAAACTGGACCCTAGAAGAAAATCACTAAGATAGATCATAATCAAACTTTCTAAAGCAAAGTCAAGGAAAGAAATCTGAAAACACCTCAGAAAAACTGAAAAGTTACCTACAAAGAAGAACCGGTAAGACTTAGCTTGAATTTCTTGGAAGAAACTATGCAGACAAGAAGACAATGGAAGAGCATTTACAAAACTCTGAAAGAAAAAATGCCAACCAAGAATTATATACACAGCAAAATTGTCCCTCAAATAAGGTATTGAAATTAGGACATTTCCACATGAACAGAAATGAAAGGAATTGATAAAATCATTTCCAGATGAACAGGAAATACTAAAGGGAGTTCCTTGGGCAGAGAACCAACAATAGCAGACAGCAGCCTGAGATTAATATACAAGACACCATCATCCAGAATTCAACCCAGATATTGAAATATCCAAAATAAAGTAAATCTGAAAGACTGAAATAAGGAACCAAAGGTACTAACTTCCAAACAAAGAAAACTACAGAGTAAAAAGAAGGGGAAAAATAGTGTAGCTACAGAACTTCCAAATGAGAGGAAGTCAAATAAATTTCAAAACAGACCAGACTGTTTAAAATTTATGAAGTAAGTAATAAACTACAGGGTAACCTCAAAGAAAATTAATAAGCCTTTTCATCAAAATAAAAGGGAAAATCATGAAGATTTAATAAACATTAACTCAACAGCAATAAGTAAAATTGTATATATATTAAAAGAAAAATAAAACCCACAATGAAATGAGCTTAGTACAGTAAAATATATGGAACAAAGAAACCAGCAGTGCCACAAAAAACACACACACACAGCAATAAATCCATACCTATTGATATACTGAATGTAAATAGGTTAAATGCACCAATCAAGAAACAGAGAGTAGCAGAATGGATAAAACAGGATGCATCAGTATGCTGTCTACAAGGTACACACCTTAGACACAAAGACAGAAAAATATAAAAAGTAAAGGATAAAAAAACCTAAACAAATGGCAATTTTAAAAGCCCAGGAGTGGCAAGATCAGTTTCTGAAAACATAGACTTTAAGGCAAAAACCAGCATAAGAAACAAAAAAGAACATTATATAATGATTAAACATAAATTAAACAAGAGAACACAGCCATAATAAATATCTATGAATGCAATGTAAGAGCCTCAAAATACATAATCAAACTCTAACAGAACTGAAGAGAGACATAGACAACTCTACAATTATAGTTTATTGTTGTTGTTATGTGCCATAGAGTAGGTTCTGACTAATAGCAACCCTGACTTCTGGTGTGTCACTGTAGGATTGGCACTGGAATACAAACCACAATGTCAGCAGTTCAAACCCACCAGCTGTTCCTCGGAAATCCTATACAGGGTCACTATGAGTCAGAACCAACTTGACGACACTTAACAACAATATAAGGTTTCTAAGGAGCAGCTGGTTGGTTTGAGCCACTGACCTTATACTTAGCAGTCAAATGCTTATCCTACAATGCCACACCAGGCCTCCACAATAGTGGCTGTTGTTAAGTGCTTCTGAATCGGTTCTGACTCATAGCAACTCAGTATAGGTGTCCAAGGAGTGGCTGGTGGGTTTGAACCACAACTCTACAGTTAGTCCAGTACTTACTCACAGTGCCTCACCAGGACAATTATTGTAGGAGGCATTAATATGCTACTTTAGATGAAGGACAGTTAACAATTAGAAACTCAGCAAAGACACAGAAATGAACAATTACACACAACCCATTTTACCTCACAGGCATGTACAGAACACTCAACCCAACAGCAGCATCATATGCATTATTTTCCATCACACATGGGATATTCTCTAAAATAAACTCTTTGTTAGGCCACAAAGCAAGCTTCGATAAACTTAAAAACAATGAAATGCTATAAAACATCTTCTCAGATCACAATGCTGTAAAATTAGAAATCAATAATAGGAAAGTAAAGAGAGAGAATAAAAACCCAAAAACCTAAATATGTGGACACGGAATAACACCATGTTTTAAAAATACTGGATAATGAAAGAAATTTTTGAAAATCGGAGTAATTCACTGATTAGAGGATAAACACATGTGAACTTGGGTGAAGGGGAAGAAAATACACAATTAGAGTGAGATTGTAAAAAAAAGCATGGAGAGATGAAGGCAAGGGAAGACATGCTGAGAAGTGCCCAAGTTAAAGACAATAGGTAAGCACTGTTGTATAACAGTCCTGCAATAACAGAGATCTACAGGTAGATACGTGGATAGGCACCCAGACTGAGCTGATGCAGGAGGGAGACTGGGAGTATACCCACAAATATATAGAGGATTGATAGAGATATTTGTACATGAATATTTCCCTTTGCTGCAAATATATTCATGAATATACATAGTGGAGCATACAGGTGGCAAAGTTATGAAAACTACTAGACCATAATCCAAAACATCGAGGAAATGAGTCCCTGGGATTTGGGGATCAAGTCCATAGTCTCAAGGGACACCATGAGTCAATTGTCATAACATAGTTCACAAAGAAAATGTTCTGCTTTGTTGAGTACTGACTGGGGTCCTCAAAGCCCGTGAGTGTTTCTCCCTCTCTCTAGGAAAGAATAATGAAAATTGAAGCTACATGGAAACAATTAGTCTAATGATCTAAGGGACCATATGAACATCAGTCTCCATGCCTCTGAGACAGAAGAACTATATGGTGCATGGCTACCACTACCAACTGCTTAGAAATGGATCACATTAGAAGGTCCTGGATAGAGAGGCGAGTAACTGAGCTGCAACTCCGAATCATAAAAAAGATGAGGCTTGGTCTTGAACAGTTGCACAAGGTATCGAAGGTTTGATAGTGGCCAAGAATAGACTAACAGGGCAGAAGCCCAGGAGCATATTTCACATAGCGAACCAAAAAAACTTTAAATCTAAAAACAAAGCAAAACCGGTTACCACAAATCTTAAGAAGGTAAACATTGTGAATAACGAAAAAGTTACCAGAGTAAATAAAGCTTTTGTCGATATACAGAAGGAACTTGCGCATTTCTCAAAAGGACTTTCCCTCGAACCACTGCAGAAAACACTGATTCCTCAGCATCAGCATAAAAACCATCCAGTCAATATCGACGAGGCTACAAGATTAATGGCCCAGTTGTAATGCAGTAGTGATTCGTCAAATTCCCCAGAAAAAAAGA